ACTCCAGTGGCTTTACCTGGAGTCTTTACATTGAGTACCTTTGGGACTAGAGTAGACTTTCATTGTTACTATCTTTACGTGAAACTGCGTGAGTGCTCTTGGGAAGTGCTTACACGAGGCATGTGGAAACGGCGGCCTGGCTTGGGGAGAATGTAGCAGTAGAAGTCCGACAGTAAGACACGTGGACTCAAGTTCATCCTGGCCTCCTGCGCCCACAGCTCCTTTCATTCTTCTGTGACTTCATTAAGATGATAGCAAACGAATTCGTGCGTTCCCAGGTGACACAAGGAAATGAGAATCCTTTCTCTGGCTGCCGGGGCTGGGAAATGTATCTAACAGAGAAGCACGATATGCGGTGCAGTCAAGAGACCGATTTTGCAGGTGGTGGAAGAAGCCCTGGATTTACTCTGCCCGGCTCAGGGCCGCTCACTTGCGGGGAGACATCACCGCGTCTCAGGTTCCACTGTTGCAGTACTCCCATTTCAGGACCGTCGTCACGTGACTGAACTCAGACACCGCAGACCTGACAGGCTGCGCAGCGCAGAAATTTGGATCCTATACCTTAGTAGCCCAATGTTTCTCTCTGGTAAATTTGGGATAATTATACTCACTGTACAAAATTGTCCTGAAGTCTAAAGGGGAATATGTGTGCCCCAAATCTATACTTAGCATGATGTCTGTTCGTGGCAGATCTCAGTAAAAATTTTTATAAGGAACATCAGAATTTATATCTCCAGGTAAAGTTGCCAATATCCCATAATATCTGGACACTGTTGTCTGCCCTGCTAAGCACTTTATGTGCCTAGGCCCATTGAATTCTCAGAGGTACTTACTATTCACTGCCCCCACTTTGCAGATTAGAAAACTGAGGCTCAGAGACATAATTCCCTTTAACAAGGACTGATAGCCTAGAGAAGTTAATTGCTTTAACAATCTCTAATAACCACAACATGGCAGGGACGTGAGCCTGTCTTTCTGATATGTGAGTCAGCCTGTAACTCATGCTCCTGAGAAATAAATGTCTTTCTATCCTTCAGAAGTTGCCTTGCTCAGAATAGCCTTCTTTACAGGAATGGTGTTCTATGAAAATGAGGCTTTTATATTATGGCCTTAGCTCACTGCTGGTTTCGATTAGAGTTTATCCTGTTTCTCTAGATACCTGCTTATTTACTTCCCAAATCCATAACCATTACTAATGGATCTGTCTCACAACGGATCTTTACAAGAACAAGTGAGGTTTCTGAAGATGATTCCCAAATCCGAGATCCCAAACACTGGGGATTGCTGTGCAGCCTCCCCCTCCACCTCTTCTTCCCTCCTCCAGGTGACTAATTTAGAGGTATATCTGAGTCCTGGAATGCAAAGAGATGTATTTATAGTGACACTTCTCATAAAAAGGGAGTTCAAAGGGAACTGACACTGGTTGATTACTCATGATACATCACCCGTGTTATCCCCACCTTCTCGTTTTATTTCACGTAACAACCTGTAGCATAGTTTTATTATCACCCTAATTTTGCAGATGAGAAAGCAAGGCTAATAGTGACAGACGAGAGATTCAAACCCATGTCTCCATGACACAAAGCATGTTCTCTGCGTGCACTACCCATTGCTCCGTCCCATGAAGGCACGGGGACCCTTTGATGAGTGCTGTGATGCCATCCCATCATCTTGGGGTGCTGGCGAGCACTGTTGATGAGAGCACCAATAACTCCTTGGTTTCTTGCACTCGGAGAGCACCCCAAACTCCACCCCCGACTCTCCACCTCTGGTGCATTGTCAGCCATCTTGCAGATGTACCCCCTTGGTTGTTAGGCAGATGGGTGGGAGTGATACCCGCAACTGCAAATATAACCTAGCCAATTCCTGAGGACAGTGGGGTCAGTAGTGCCACCACTGTCCCTGAGGATAAGCCACCACTGTTCTCACTACCTCTTTTCAAGGAGGTAAAAAAAACACCCTGCAGGACCACTGTCAGCGTTGCACGGAGTAAGAAACTGGCCTGAGGAGTACAATGATGCTGAATAGTCTTTGATGGGGATGATGATGATATGATGACCCCACTTTATACAATGCTGGCACACACAAGTGTAAGTGTGCATGTGTGTGTGTGTGCATGCGCATGTGTGATTCCTGGCTCTGGAAAGGATGATGTATATTTCTGAGCAGCTCCACACACACAAAAAAATCCAGCGTTTTAAGTTCTGCCCAAATCAGAGTCTATTCACTTGCAGATATCCAGGAATGGTTTTCAGGGTGCTTGAGAAAATGAGAGGTGCAGATGGTTTGCACTGGGGCATGGTTTCAAATTTAAAGAGGATGATGGCCCATGAACCCATCACGGTTCACAAAATGGTGTGAACCTTTGAAATTGTAATTGCAGACCAGTGTGAGGAGGTACATTCTTACCCAGGCACAGCATCACATTGTTCACACGTTCCTTTCTTGGCCGGAGGACATGGGGGGGAGGAGCAGACATATAACATAATCTTCAAATGAAAGTGAAACACCAATTGATGACAGCAAGTTTGGCCTCTCCGGTGAATTCAGTCACGAAAGAAATCCCTGGCTGTTTACCATCGCAATCAGCTTAGCTTGTAACGATCTTTCTTCCTCGTATCTGCAGAGCTGAGGGTATACACAGACTCAGCTCCAGCAGGAAGAGATCTGTGCAGTCCTTTTGACACATCCCCCGTTTATTTTACAAGTGATGGAACCAAGGCCCAAGGTGACGACATCAGTTATTAGGAGAGAAAGCTCTGGAACCCAGGGCTTCTGGAATTGAGGCATTCACTGACTCTGGGCTTTTAATAACGGCTCATACTTATTGAGGCACAGTATGGCTTTTCCTATAAGCCACACATGTAGGATGGAAGAAGCTATCAGCCCAGCAGAGATGACAGATATTAGATGGCAACTTGGAATAGAGGGAAGAAAAGAATAAATGCAAAGTCGACGTCTAAATTGATTTGCAGCCTAGAGGAAAGCTCTCCTGGAGCAGATGGAAGCATGGGTGTTGGTGGTTGCGCTCTCAGCTGCCCCATGGCCTAGCATGGGGTTACTGAGGCTCAGAAAACTTAACTAGCCCACACTGATAGGGGCCACATTTCCTCTAAGTCACTGAACCTTCCACATGCAGGATGAGCTTGTCACACAGAATGCTTCAAACTGGCAGAATGGCTTTCCTGTGCACAAAGCACTTTCTCATCATTATCATGGAACAGCCCCATGGGGATGGTGCCCTTATCTTCGCTCTTCATGTGAGGCAACTGAAGGCCAAGATCCCTTAAGCCAACTGGATATCAGTAGGACTCAGCCTCTCCTTTTTTCTGCTCAAGATGTCACCTTGTCATAGGGGCCTTCTCTGAACATTCCTTCCGCCTCCATCACTTTCTTACTTTACATATAATCCCGTTCCTCTGATGTATTTGCTGGCTGGCTGTTGCCCTACTGGAAGGTACGCTCACCAGAGCAGGGGCATGGTCACTATTGAATCTCCATGGCCGTTGGTGTTGGTACATATTTGTCCACAGTAAGCGAACTGATGCATTTTCATTTGACAACCATTTGGCTACTTATCTGCCCCAGGCCTGGTGCAAAGACAAGTTCCCTTACCTTGACATGCTGTTGTAGTTGGGGTTAAAGACCAGTGGACACAGGTAACCTTTCCAGATAGCAGGGACTCAATCCTGTCTTAGGCCACAGGGCCAGCAGTCCGCCCTCAGGGGGCGCATTTGGGTGCTTAGTTTTGAGGTGGCTATGGAAGGCTCCTCCTACAGGAGCCAATCTTGTGTTGTTTTCCAAGTGCTTAGGTTTTGTTTTTCTTTTTAAACCAATTTCATCCGCAGTCAATGGTGAGAAATTAAATGGATTCTTTGGACTAAGTAGACTGAGCTAGTGGGAAAACGAGACATCTGCTGGGGCCGAGGAATGAGCAATCTGTTAGTACTTTTTCCGCGGGAATTTGGCATCTGCTTAGCGTTGTACACCATTTGCACGTCGGGAAATGCATCTTACAGCCCCTGACCCCGGTCTTTCCTCCGGGTTAAAAAAAAAAAAATCGGCAATGAAAGATTAGAAAGCTGTCAAAAAATAAAAACTCTTTCGTTTGTTTTCAGTTAGCATTTTAGCGACTTACGCGAACTGCACACAGACTAGCCTTCCAGTGGCGGTGAGCGCCCCGCAAAGGGAATGTAGGCGGGAGCGGGGCGAGCAGGCTGCAGCAAGCCTGGGCACCGGGCTGGCTCCTCGCTCCGGTCCCCCGCCGCCCCGCGCCCCTCACAGCAGGAGGCGACTCTCCACGCTCGTTTCCTGCACCCACATCAGACTAAAAAAGAACGCGTACAACTTTTTTTGGTCCCCCTTCTCGCCGAAGGCTGGCGTAAGAGCTCTCCGCAGTCTACGCTCCGGGAGCAGCCCCCGCCCCGCGCCCGCGTCGGAACGCAGCCCGGGAGGCGGGGCGCGGGCGGGGGCGGGGCCGCGGGCGGCGGGGGCGGGGCGGGGGCCGCAAGGGGCGGGGAGGGGCGGTGGCGCGTGCGCAGAGCACTTCCTTGTTTGTTCCCGTGACTATAGCGGGAGCGCCGCCGCCCGCCGCCAGCCCTCCTGCCCGCGGGAGCGTGTGCTCAGTCAGTCGGTGTCCTCGCCGCCGCCTGTCAGAGCATCTGAGGAGGCAGCTGCCCGGCCCGATCCCTCTGCGTCGCGCCGCCCCGTCCCCTCCCCCGCCGCCAAGGAGCCGCCGCCGGCATGACCACAGGGAGGCGGGTCCCCGAGAGCCCCCTGCCTCGCGCGCGGCTCGGAGTTTGAAGGGCTGCCGCCGCCTGCTTCGCCCGCCCGCCCTTTCTCCAGCCGCCGCGCCGCCGCCGCCGCCGGGGACAGGAGCTGCGCCAGGCCGGGCGGCGGGTGGCGGACTGCGCGGGGCGTTCATGAGCCGCCCGGCGGCCCGCGGCCCCGGGAGCCTTCGCCGTGACTCACTCCCCGCCTGTGTCTCGCCCCCCCGGCAGGATGCCGGACCAGATCTCCGTCTCCGAGTTCATCGCCGAGACCACCGAGGACTACAACTCGCCTACCACGTCCAGCTTTACCACGCGGCTGCACAACTGCAGGAACACCGTTACCCTGCTGGAGGAGGTAGGTCGCGGCCGGCGCCCCCCGCACGCCCCTCCGGGGACCCCGCGCTGCCTCCGCTCGCAGCCGCTGCCCAGTAGTCGGATCGCCTTGATTCCTGAGCCGGGGATGTTTGGGGCTGGGGAGCCACACCCCCTCCGGGACCCCCGGCTCCTGGCTGGACCGGGGACCTCGGATGTGCAGCCTCCTGCCCCATGTGCCGGGGGAGCCGATCCCCCGGAGGCTGGAGGTGGGCAGAGGAGTGAGCGAGCTCCAGACACCCCCAAGAAGAAGAGGGAAGTCGTCTTCCTATCTTTTGCCGTTCCTGGGTGCTAGGCAGTCTGCTCGATGCTTTCCACATCTTTGACCCTGTCATAACCCGCGAAGTAGGTGGTGTCAGGCCACCGAGGGCAGAGCGAGGTTTAGCAACGTGGCCAAGGTCACCAGCAAGGGACAGGGAGATGGTCAGTGAATGCACTTCTCCAGGGCTTGGCCAGGCAGGTTTAGCCGCATAGGCAAGGGAACGCTGGCTGGGGCTGCCTCCACCCCAGGATTCCTACCCTCTAGTCCTGGTGCCTAAAGCCCTGAGTGCAAGGAGAGATCTGTGCAGACAGGTCCCCACCCGGCCCTCCTCAGGAGGCTCTGGTTGCGCTGGAGGCTGCTGCGCCAGCAGGACCTGCCCGCAGGGCACTCATAGCTGTGAACTGAGACCTGAGGCCCTTCTGCCTGGAAGCGCAGGCAGGGCGGGGGTGAGGGGGGGGCATGGGGATGGGGGGTGCAGAAACTGCAAGAAGGACAGCTCCTTCTATCTAGACCCTCCAGGGAACCCTTGTGAGTGTCTGGGGACAGGGCCAAGGACATAGTGATTTCCTTTAAAACTGTAAGTGAATTGGCGATAGGGTGGGATGGGTAGGGAAGGAGGAGCCCACACGGCCAAGAGCTGCAGAAGCCTCCGAGCCTCAGTGAAAATAGGACATCTGCCCTGGAACTTGGCACCATCTGTGAGTGCCATAAAGCACCACTCCCCTCCAAACCAGCCAAACCTATTTCAGCTGAAAAAGGCAGCATTTGGGGGAAGTTAAGAAAGCAGATCTTTTTGGTGGATTATCCTGGGTTGGTTTCTTTGAGGTTTGGGGAGTTCCTTCTGATGTAAGCTCCCCATGGTCTGTGCTCTTTTTATGTTGACGAGCTTGGGCTTCTATGGGCAAACTGCTCTTGATAATGGAGTTTTAAGACTTGCTCTTGAGACGTAGGCCTGGTATTCTGAAGCACAGGAGTCCTACATTTTAGGAGAGGAGAGATTTCTGTTAGCATTGGGTGTGGGGGGAGGGGGGAGACGGGCGACAGTCCATCTTGCCTGCCAGGTGCTGCAAATTGGTGTGAACGTTTTATGCCTGTTGAGGATAGTCTGTAGAGTTCTTTCTTGAGTAAATGTTGGGTTATGGAACTGAATTTTGAAATTCAGTTGGAGAAATACCACCTGAGTAGGTTTGTTTGAAAGCCAGAGAGGTAAATGGATCTTTGTTTGTGTGTTTGTTTCTGTGAACTGTCCGTCTTGCACTCTCCTGAAGCTTAGTGTCCAGGATTAGGTGGGGTTGCCAGGCATTCCGCCCCATTGTGGGTCTGTCCTGCACTTAATTTTGATAAACTGGAACATGCTGATACAGGAGCATTTTGCATCCTTTCTCTGCACTAATTATATGTGCCTTTGAAGGATGTGATACTGGTTAGACTGTGAGATTCTTTTCCTCCTCGACACTTCTTCAGTGCCTGCTGATAGAGCTGTCAGTTATTTTAACTTTCCCTTTCTGCACATTCAGATAGTGTTACTGTATTCTGTTTGGGTGGGGTGTGATAAGGGTAAGTAATGGGCGATGCTATTTGTGGGGTATGGGCCCATATTTTGCAGCAACGCCAGAGGATTGGCTTAATGTTGGATTATGTGCTGTTGCTCTTGGTCTCAGTGTGATGTAACTAAATTTAAAAGGAAATGCAAGAGATGCATTTGTGTGTGTGTGTGTGTGTGTGTGTGTGTGTGTGAAAGAGAGACAGAGAGAGAGAGAGAGAGAGAGAGAGAGAGAGACAGTGTTTTGCAAAGATAGGTAGAAAAATAGATCCAATCACAATATAAATGTGGTCGCCTATGAACTTGAGAAGGAAATTGGAACCAGGCTAGAAGTTTGAAAGTGGCATGTTGAAGTGCATGATAATATTCATTTTCTCAGAAATATAACAGTAAATGTTTTACTCGGAATGGCACGGCAATTTTGTAACTCTCTTTCTGAACTTGAGTACAGTACTGGTCAAGAAGTCATTGTCCCCAGTCTGTATCTTGTAACTCTTGAATCATATCCCATGAGGTTGGACTCATGAGTGATTGCCATTTGCATAAATGTGAACGATACCCTTTAGTTTCTTATTGATAGAGAATCACCACAGTCGAATTTTTATTTCCCAAGCTTACATATATAGTAGGGGGTGCATTATTATAAATATCTTAAGTGGGTAACAACTCAGCTCTTAAAAAATATGAGCCTTAAGGTTATTACTCTCAAAATATAAGGAGAAGTTTCAGGGAAAACCACAAAATCTTATTGGCATTTGCTTCACAAGTGAGATACTTGGAAACTTGAAGAACACTGTGTTGTCTTGTGGTTATTCTTAGGAATAGAACTTTTGGGTACTTTTTTGGTGATGTGGAAACTCAGGAATGAATAGGAATTAATTTGGGCAGTTTGGAATTCTTTAAAAAAATCTTTTCTAGTTCTCATAATTGAATGTCTTGTTTGTTTACTAGCCTTTTTGCTCTTTGGGTTCCCAATTAACATGCAAAAGTCCAAACTAGAAAACTGTATTAGAGTTCCAAGCGTGGAACCCGAGGTTAACCCACACTTTCCCTCTTGCTCTGTCATTGGCAAAGAGCGTTGTGCTTTTCAGACGTCGGTGCTTTCACCAAAATCTCTCCCTCTGTGAGGAGCACTGCAGGAAATGGGGCAGAAACACAGTCAAGGAGGCAGAGCGTACTTCTGGGCTTCACCACTGGGGGTGAAGGGTCCCCGTGATTCTGGGCGTCGGGATGTGGCTGGCACGCAATGAGTGGCTGCCTTTGGGAAGCAGGGACGGACTGGCTGCCAAGGTTTCATCCTGGTGTGTGAGTGTTTTCCAAGCAGAAAGCCAGTGTTTTGCTTATTCAGCAACCAAAGCACACTGACGTGTCTATTTTCCTCGTGACCATTTGGAAGTTATGAGTAAATGACTAGGAGGCCAGGAGGAGACAGCTCTCCCGAGAGGGAGCAAGCAGGCATTCCAGGACCACTGTCAGGGGCGGGGGGAACGGGAGACACCCTCCATGTAAAGGCTTGCATTGGCCATTGCTTAGCACTGGATGAAAGGGCGACTCCAACGAAGGTTTGCTTAGTCATTTACTATCAGGCTAGCACTTTGTCCTTGGTGCCTGTTCTCCCCATGTTTTGAGCGTCTGCTCCGTGCCAGACCCGGGTGGGCAGATGGCACGCATGCTCTCCTTGAACCCTCAAAGGAGTTTTAGGGGGGAGGGATCATTGTTAGCTCCATTTCACAGAGGAGAAAATTGAGGCCCGGAGATGAAGTGATTTGTCTCCAGGGTCACACGGCGAGTACGTAAATGGAGTTAGGACACTAAATGGAGTTCAGCAGTTAAGAAGACGGAAAACTGACATTCTAAACCTCTACAAAGAGCTGTTTCAGTGGCTTTGTAGCGAGCGTAGGACGCTTCGCTTTTATTGTGCCTTTAATTCTGGTCTCATGAAGCAGAGGTGCCTAAGCTCCTAAGTGGCTTAGTTTTTCCTCTGGTTCACATTCCAGCGAGTTCTTAATTGCAATACTTAAAGGCACTGTTTTCCCCCCAGTGCCTTCAAATGTTTGGTTATGGTTTTTCAGATTCAAATGTGGGAACACACTTGGTTGTAATCCAGGAACCGCATTTACCCAGCACACTTTCTGAGAGCACCTGCTCGGTGCAGGTCACTTTGCTGGGCCGAGCCGAGGCGTTCGGGTGGTCATCCGGGTTGTGTTATGGAGAAACTAATGGCCTCTGAGAAAGAGAGAAATAGGGCCATCACTCTTAACAAGGTAGAAGGGGACGGTTCATAGGAAATAACATAGGACATTGACCCCAGCAATATAAGCTAAATCACTCAAACGACCACCCAGTCCATATACAAGCTGTCCTGGGCCTACTATGTGCACAGCAGTGGGCCAGGCCCGGGGGACATGCAGACCAACAGCCCTGCCCTCCAGAAGTGCAGCCTGAGTTTTCCGAAGGGGGCTGACAGTCAAGTGAGGGTCTTGCGGTAGAGGCTCGCCTGGTTTAATGTGTGCGCGGGTGATGCGTTCAGTCCCTCCTGAAGGCATAGACGTGTTTGGCTGAATGAAGAATGAAGGTGTGGAATGCACATTCCTTATCAAAACTCATCCTTTTATAGTAACAGTCATTACTAGTTGTTAGCGTTCCTGCTAGGTACGAGCCCTATTCATGCTGTCCGTCATCATCCTTACGTCCCCCCTGCTGTTATCACTGACGCCCTCTTCTAGCAGTTACACCTTTGCCCAAGGTCACACCAGCAGCCGCTAGTGGATTTGGGAATTAATCCCATTTCTGTGGTGTCTGTATTCTTGCCAGTCAGACTTCATCTGTGCTCCCTCGCTCTCTCTGCAAGTCTTACTTGTTACCTGTGTTCTTCTGGGCATCTTCCGTGTTGATGACTGGAGGTCATCGGTCACCGATTAAGTGCTTTTAGGTCCTCCTGTGCTCCTCCGTGGAACATCACATGTGAGACCTCAGGGGCCCGAGCCTGAGGAATGGTCTTGTTCGTCGGCTGCCAGTGCTCCAGAATGCAGGGGCATCACTTCTCTCACATGTTAAAAGCTAGGAAGTGCTTGTTTATCCAGCAGCTGCTAACCTTGGTTGTAGGCTTACTGAAAAGGTACTCTCAGGAAGGGTTTCCATAAAATCTCGGCTGGCCCTGTGCATTCCTAAGGTAAAG